TCCTTTCCATGGTTTCTTCCCAACTTGGCCAAGCTTTTTCTTCCTTTCGCCTATCCTCCCTTGACTTTTCTATCTTGGTGAAATTTCATCTATCTATTTGCATAAAATTAGGAATTTTGGGAGCTCAAGGCCCCCTTTCCCGCAGCTATTTCAGTGGGAGACTTCTATTCCCAGCTATCTCCTTTCCTTCTTTCTTTCCTTTTTCCATGGCCAGGTCTGATGGGGATGGAATTGGGGTATGTATGCTGGTTCGAAGGGTGCTTCTCTTCCTGGCAGCTTGCACGTTAATATCCCTTGGTTCTTCAGGTGTTTTGTGCTTGGAACTTGTTCCTTTCCAGCAACTTTGCATATGTGGACATCTCCTTTGTGGCTTCTGTTTTTTTTCCAGCCAGGAGCTGAGGCTTTGACTTTTTCTCTTTTCTAATTGTATGGGCCTTCTAAGATAATGGGTTGGTTTGTCAAAATAAATGGGCTGACCTCAACAAGTGTTGGACTATTTTTGTTGAGGTGTTGGGCTAATTTGGTTAAGCTAATGGGCTACTTCCTCTTTTGTGCTCACCCATATATTTTGGCCTAAGAAATGGGCTTGAGTCCCGAGGCTCCCAAGCAACCTGAGACTTCCATTTCTTGGCCCATCAATGGGCCTTATGTTGATTTATTACCATCCATACCACAACCCACTCAAGCAAGCCTCGGGTATTTGAGTGGCTTGGGGCCCACTTAAGCTTGTGGCTGGTGTGCAAGCGCATATGACGAACTTTCGCGTGCCCAAATCGAGTTTCTTCTCAATAAGGTATCGCATTGGGCCGAGAATTTATTTGGGCTGAAGCATGGATTTTTTGGGCCTTAACACTGATGACAAGGGCATCGTTATGCGACATGTCTAGGCCGATCAGATCTTTCTTTTGGAAGTCGATCGCAGGATCGTCTTTTGTTGGTGGGAGGTCGGTCGAGATTTGGGAGATCATAATGGCCTGTTTGATATTCCTCTTCTTTTCCTTACTGGTCAGTCCAGACTTCTCGTAGTTCCCTAGATTGTGTTAATCCTTATGACCTTCTAGGGCGTCTTCTTGGCAGCATCACAATCTTTAATCCGTTGGATGGCCTGCTTCGCAATGAATTCTGTGTAGTGACCTTATCTTAAAAGTTCTTCAAGGTGCGTTTTCCAGGGGAAGCAGTTGTTTGTAGTGTGCTCATACGTCCCATGGAAGACATAGTATTTTCTAGCATCCATCTTGTCCAAATCTCCTTTCAAGGGTGGCGGTCTTCTTACCCAAGGTTTGTCTTTCACTTGGGCTAAGATTTGATGTATGGGGATGGTGAACTTGATGTAGTTCTCTCATGCTGTAGCGTCTCCTTGTGGATGTGACCTGCTCTTCTCCTCGTTCTTGTTGCTAAATCCATCGCTTCTTTGGCCTGCCCGCTTAGTCGGCTGATCTTCCTTCTTTGTAGACTTCTTTGCGGCGATTTGATCGTCATCCCATAGCGCGTAGCATTCCTCGGTTGTGTAGACCTCTGCCAGAGTCTACCTGGGAGTGATAGTCAGCTTACGGTACAAGTCATGTTCGGCTAGAAGGCCTTTCTTGAAAGCAGAGGACGTGATTCGGTCGTCACATCCTATAATGTTAGCCTTTTCTGCTTTGAATCTCTTGATGTAATCTCGAAGGGATTCGTTGGACTTCTTACGCAGGTTGTACAAATGGTGAGGATTCTTCTTGATTGTCCGGTAAGAGGTGTATTCTTTGGTGAAGACGTAAGTCAGCTCCTTGAAGCTACTGATCGACCTGGATGGTAGAGTGTGGAACCAGTCTTGGGCTGCTCCTCGCAAGGTCATAGCAAACACCTTGCACATCAGTGCGTCGTCGGCCTTGTGGAGGATCATGACACTTTTGAAGTGTTTTAGGTGGCTTTCGGGATCGGAATCCCCTTTGAAGTGTGTAAACGTAGGCGTTGAGAATCTTTTCGGGGGAGCAGCCTGCTCAATTTTTGGGGTGAACGGTGTAGAGTTCGCCAGGTTTATCTCCTTACGTAGTGTGTCTTCGAAGTTTTTGCCGGTCTTCAAGTCTCGAAGTCGATCATTCACAAGCTTCTCTACGTCTTCGGCACACATTGCTGGTTGGTCTCGTTGGCGACCTTCGCGATTTGGGTGACGCTGATTGACCTTCTCGTTGGTCTGCGAAGGTCGACCTTCTCGCCTACACTGCCTAAGTGGCGTGTTGGTGGACTGCACTTGCGAAGGATCTTCTGTGGCTTGTCGATGAGAATTGACTCTTCGAAAGTGAGCAGAGGAGCACCTTTCCTCGTGGTCCTCATTGTGAGGGTTATCCAGTTGACCACTTTGGAGGCCTAGCCTTTCGTGAATGCTCCTCTGCAAGTGGATAGCTAAGCGCATTTCTTCACGATCCTCATTGCGATGGTTGTCTGACTAACCTCCCTGCGGGCCTAGCCTTTGATGTACATTTCCCTGCAGGTGCGGATGTCAAGTCACGGGCCTGACCTTTCGCTTACGTTGTTCCTTAAACTCAATCTGCTCTGAGTGTGGATCGCAGATGCTTGCGACATGTCGGCAGGTCAATCACGTTGTTGTCTTCCGCCTTGTCTGCTCACTTCTGTTCGACCTGCTTGGTACCCATCGAGCTGCCTATCAACATGTTTGTCCATCATTCTCTTTTCGCCCGGTTGTCCAAGGCCAAGGTTTTGAGCCAAGCTTATCTGGTTGAAGAGCTACCTCATTAGATTGCTTTGGTAGTCCATTCTATGAGCTAGCTGGTCAACTATCAGATTAAGGTGTAATTCACTTCGTGGATCGAGATGAGAGAAGTGCGTGGAGCCCCATTGCACACGGGCTAGGGTTTTATTGGAGGTGTACGTGGGAGGGTGCGTTAGCATGGAGACAATAGAGGGAATGCTTGAAGTTGCTCCAAGATCGGGCCTAAGTCGGCTGTGGTAATGAGCCCACCTTGATGGGAGGTTCCACCAGGTTCGGCAGCGGTGGCCGGTGCAGTGGTTTTAGCTGCAAGTCTGGTAGGTGGCACGGTGGGGAGAGGGGGTGGGGCCACCATGT